GGTTCACCGACAGCCAGGGCACCGGATAGTAAACCATTGCCGTGCGGATAGTAGACTACTGCCGTGCGGATAGTAAACCATTTGCCGTCCGGAAGCCGTGCGGGTAGTAGACTATGGCCATGCCGCATAGTAAATCATTACCGTGCAGATAGTAAACCATTGCCGTCCGGATAGTAAACCATTGCCGGTTCACCACTGGCCGCCAAGGCTTACCTCTGACAAGAGACTTCGAAATTCAGAGTCTATCGGCTATCGTACCCTCAACTTACCTATTCATTACAATTAAGCCCTAGCTTACCTAAAATTACAAAACTCAAGAGCCCAATTCATTGGCCTTTCGGCACCCACCCCACCACCTACGTAATGCCTTGGGCTCCAACTTAGTAATAATAATATAAAACTTAAACCCTAAATCTATTAATGAGTATGTGTTACAACATAGCCTTAACCTACCTATTCATTACATTACGGGCCTAGCTTACCTAAAATTACAAAACTCAAGAGCCCAATTCATTGGCCTTTCGGCACCCACCCCACCACCTACGTAATGCCTTGGGCTCCAACTTAATAATGATAATGTAAAACTTAACAATTAACCTACCTATCGATACACTTACAGCGTTTTAATTTACATTACAAGATTTTTCCTAGAATTACATTATTGCTCTTGACTACCTATGAAATTAAATTATTCTCAACCTTAGTAATAATAAATTAGAATGTGTAAAGAAAATAAAATTACGCTCAAATACTAACATATGTGTTTATGTATGTATTTGTGTGTGTGTGTGTAATACGCTGGTGCGTGTAATGTGGGTGCAAGATAAAATAGAAGAGATAAACTTACGCTGCCTACCTATTCAACTACATTAGTGTTGGATGCTCCCTATCTATCCTACCTACAATTAAAATTAGGCCTATCTAACCTACCTATATAGCTACTTAATGTAATTGTGTGTGCGTGTGTGTGCGTGTGAGCATTCCTACTTAATGTTAAATTACAGAAAAAAAGAAGAAAACGTATCCCAGTCAGGCAGGTATTCTTTGCCACTGAATGAACGAACGTAGCCTGACATCTTCCATGATGAACTCCTCTGGAAGCTTCAACCTGAATGAAATGAAAAAATCCTATTTAATTAATTAATTTAAATGAAAATAGAAACGAGCCGTGGTGAAATCCACCAGCAGGAAAAGACAGCAAACTGGCAAATAAAGAAACCGTTAAGAAACCGTAAAGTCGGAAGTTAGGGTTAAGGTTGAACGTAGGGTGACTTCACAACCATTCTGATCCTCCACGACGAACTCCTCTGGAAGCTATAACATGAATGAATGAACCTGAATGAACCTAGATGAATGGACAAATCTTATTTATTTAATTAATTTAAATGAAAATAGAGAAACGCAAAGAAGCCGACCGGTCGGCAAAGAGAAGAACCGAAAAGAACGGTATCTATATAGGATTTATGCTCTATATAACTCTATATAACTCTATATAACTCTATATAACTCTATATAACTCTATATAACTCTATATAACTCTATATAACTCTATATAACTCTATATAACTCTATATAACTCTATATAACTCTATATAACTCTATATAACTCTATATAACTCTATATAACTCTATATAACTCTATATAACTCTATATAACTCTATATAACTCTATATAACTCTATATAACTCTATATAACTCTATATAACTCTATATAACTCTATATAACTCTATATAACTCTATATAACTCTATATAACTCTATATAACTCTATATAACTCTATATAACTCTATATAACTCTATATAACTCTATATAACTCTAATAACTCTAAT